AGAGAGAGAGAGAGAAAAATTTAAAAGCGATATAATTTTAATCGCGCGTTTAATCCACTCACCTTTACGACATTTGCGATTATCTTTAGTCGCAACCGTGCCATTTGTACAACTCCATTTTCCTTTTCGACAAATAGATTTTTCTATATAAGCATGGTCGTTGACGTCATATTCTTGACAGGATTCTCCGAGTTCTGCCAATATATGTGTTCGATTAAATATTATCGCCAAAATTGTCTGTGATATTAATATTACCTGGAATACATTTGGTATCTTTCTCCGCATCAGGCACAAAATGTGCACGCTTACAACGACATATTCCAGTAGGATCACATATCGTATTTTCCAGGGCTTTGCAATCCTCGTCGGTTTTACATTTACTCACTTGAATTTCTAATAGAATTACGCTTAGTCTTATCAATTTGCTATGAAGAATTTGTATATTATACTTTTGTTATTTACAATTTATATACTGACCTTTATCTACGGTATCGCTGATATTCAATACGGCATCAGACGAAAATGCAACAGCTTTATCGGATTCAGATTTTATAGCGCATACGTATTCACTAGTGCATGTCGCGTTGATAAAAGTGCAATCGATGTCCAATATGCATTCATCGTTAACGGCTATACAGTAATATTAGTATTAAGTTTTGTAAAATATTTGGTCAGTATTTTGTTATAGATTTATGTATTTTATTGTTGTTATAATCGTGTTTTTCACCTTTGCCCTTTCGCCGACAAGTGCGATGTTCGCGCTGATAAAAATCAGAGTTACATTTACAAATTCCGTCAATTGTGTCACAAATGCTTGCTTCGAACTCGGCGTTTACGTAGCAATCGATATTTTTCTTGCATTTCTCGAACAAACCTATATATACATATAATAATAATATAAAAAACTTATTATTAGACACAAGAGAATTGGAAATAGAATAAAAAATATATTACGTACCGACATATCGATTACATTTACCGTGTAGATAATAATAACCGGGACCACATACGCAGACATCTTTTACGCATTGTGCTCCGCTGAAAAGATAAGCCGAACACTGCGCTGTTTCGTTACACGGCGCATTAAGTCCAGTAGCAACTATAAAAAACGTATATATATATAGTAATAGGTTTCTGGATTATATAAAATCAGTTATGACAAATATTGGAATATATATCATGAAATCGTGATGAAAAAAATGTTACCTTTAATACAAGATGTCAGATCGGCGCTAAGAATATATCCGGGTGCACATTTACACAAACCGTTGCTACACACACTATCTGTTACTGTACATTCATCATCAGAATTGCATTTCTGTTCATTAATGGATATTTTATTCTTTACATTGCTGATAATTTTTTTTGATGAAACGTCAGCGAATATGAATCCTAAAACATTTTATTTTCTATTTTAACATAAAATGCACAATTTTTTAAATTTTGTGCTTGATAATAATGTATTATAATATAATTTGTTTAATATTGAAATATTTGGATATATAATAATAACTATATTTCATTTAAACCACATTTTTACAAATATATAAAAGTAACTTATTTTTATAAAATTTTAAAAATATTATTACCATTGCATATAAAAAGTTGCAAATATAACAGAATGTACACGAATTGATGAGCTTGTCGCATTTTTATGATTTACGAATATTACTGAATCATACAATCTACCATAATGACTACTATTTAATCAAGCGGGCTGCTTTTATCAAATCTAAAAACAGTGCCGGTCATAAGCAAAATAAAAAAGGTATGCATTGTATAAGTTTCATAAATATTATAATATTAACAAAAAGTAGCAGTAACTACATTATATTATTTTTATATATTCTATTTATTAGATTTTATTTATTATAAAAAGTTTTATTTTATTTTGTTTTTTAAATTTTTATTGCCCACTCATATTTTAAAGGTATTATATCATGATAATGCCTTTGTTTTTTTTGTCGTAATGTATAAGTTTATGTAGATGAAAATGTATTATATCGCTGATGGGGTGAAAAGGATAAGTCATAATTTTGTAAAAATGGGATTAAAATGGGATTATATTAGGATCTCAAAACCTTCATCTTTGCACGTGTAAATTTTTTCTGAAACCTATTATTTTTGACTTAACACCTTTTTCACGCGCAGTAGCAATATTATATATAATAAAAGAAATTAAAAGTATTTCCGTAAAAGTTACTTTGTTTCTTATCCACTTATGATTAATTTTGGGCTTTTTAGTCTGTATGACCGGCACTGTTTCATGATCTCATCTGTAGATATGAACACCTGGTCCGTTATCGCGCAAAAATACTTTGGAATGATATAGTATTTGAATGTTTGCATTACATTATAAAACAGAAGTAATTGTAAGTGGTCGCGGTGGTTATCAATATAATTTTTCATCCGACTTTTATGGATTTGGATAGGCAACGAGCAGAAACCAGCCAATGCGTTTATCAATATATATATTTATTGCTATTAGAAATATCAAAGATACTTTGTCCGTCCAGAAATGTTCCGAGCAGGTTCGTCTTTTTCACGTACCGGTCAGACTTCTTTTCTTTCCCGTCTCTTCTTTTTGTCTGAAGAGCTCGATTCTACGATAGAAAGAGAGAGAGAAAGAGAGAGAGAGGGAGGTTCGTTATCGTTCGTTAAATCGTTTCCGCGATTTTAGATATTTTATACCGTTCCGAGAATTATTGCATCACTACTCTTAAATAATGGCCAATTAGATACTGAAATAAGGACCAATTAAATTAGATTTCTCAGAATCCGATTTATTACTATCTCAACAGTAAAGATCACATTTTGTTGCTCGGTACAATATATTGTCTCAGCGCAACAATTTTCCTGAGGTAAATTTGCTAATAGACATATTCTTTATGTTTGTAATAAACGGCGATTTTCAATATTACGCATATTATATTTTCCGTTTATATACATAATATAAAATGTAAATGCAGAATAATCGTCAGAAAAATAGATACATAATTAATTCTCCTAATGCATTTCTTAAAATAATCATTATTCCATGTTTTTAGTCGAGCGATATGGATTAAATAAATATATTATAGCGATCAGACATATATATATATATATATATATATGTGTGTATATATACATATATGTCTGATCGCTTTTTCCATCGTGATTGCGATGATTTAAATCACTGGAATCACATAACATTATTGCAATCAATCTCATAATATATTGGCAATTAACAGAGGAGTGGAAAAGTAGGACAAAATTGCTTCGATACACGCAATAACTTGTGCTAGATTTATTGCTTTCGACTGACTTAAATCCGCAATCAATTGCAGATTTAGGAGTTAAGTATATAAATATAATGTAAAAAATTTAATTGATTTTTCTTTAAATTTTCTCTGACTCTTACGTTAAATTTAGTTCCAGATTGAATAAATTAAATTGCGAGATAATTAATGAGTTTCTGTTGACAACAAGGCACAGTCATCGGTTGACCTGTAAGAAGATAAATGATGACCTAAAGAATGTCTTCCTCTTAAAGAAGGGGTATTATGTGGAGGGGGTCAACTTTTATCGTGATTATTTGCTTATATATGTTATTTTGCCAGGTCGAGGTTGTTTTCTATTACTTACTGCGCTGAACGTTTAACAATCTCATCTTTGTGAAGTATTCAGTTGACGATCAAATGCGCACCATGAAGGAAGAGCAGAAAATTCTTGAAGGTGGGCATTTACTGTGTCTTTTTGTCGAATATAAGAGAGTGACAGTTATTTACATCGTGGCTATAAAAAATTTAACTATAAAAAATTTATTTAAAATCTAAACGTTGCTTGACGTAATTAAAAAATAGTTCACTTTTTCTACATAATATTCATATTTTTTATTTGTACAGTTTTCGTAGAATAATTATACTTGTGCATTGTAATGTCAAAAATTATTGCGCAGATTTATTTTATTAATTTATTAATGTGTTAATATTATTATTAGACATTAACTAATAATTTTAATTTGATAGATTCGATTTATAACTAAATATGTTTATTTACACTATTTTTTATTTTTTATTAGTAAAATATTTAAATAAATAAAAACTTAAGTTTCTGCAGAGAAACTCAGAGCTTTGGAAGAAGGATTGCAACAGAAGATGTCAGAATCGAAAAAGAAGTTTGAACATAAAACCGGCTTATGCATACGATGGATACAATCTCTCCATCTAATACTTCTCTTGGAGTTGATGTTATTTTTAGCAGGAAGTTGTTATATAATCTTCCAAAAATATCCTTCTCAAGTACCGGAAGAGAAGGATACAGCTATTGATCTCGAAAAATACATTTCAATTCTGGATTCAATGTCAGAAGCACAGAAATCACATCCAACTACAGAAATGCCTAAGAAATTAGTCAAGTCTGGTATTATCGTAGATCAACTTAATAATCTTTTAGAAGACATGGGACTGATCAAAGAGCAAGAATCAATGCAAGACAAAATAAGTGCAACAGATATAGACAGCACGATGCATGCTAAAAGTATGCCAAATTCTGTTGGCGTAGAAAATGACAACACGATGCGAGCAAGTGATTTTAACAACTGGCCTCGAATAAGATTATCTTTAGGAGATTTTAAGTTAAACAAGGAATTTATAAAGAATTCAGTGCCATTGCAATTTTCTTCAACCAAGTACGTCGATGATACTATTGACAAGAACGCAAAAATTGCCCAATTTTTGGAGAGACTGCGAGATGTAGCTGAGATAGAATCTAAAATCGAAGTTGACTTGAAAGATTTCGAAAGCAAGAATGATTTTACTCACAATACTAATCGTTTGACGTCAAATAGCGAGGAAAATCATGGATCAGATGCGTCTAATAAACTTAAAAATTCAAATCCTGAAGATTCGATGGATCGTAGAATCAGTGCAGATCTAATAAATAATTTGCAAAATTGGAAACAGAAATTATCTGACTTATTTGCCGATTTTTTTGAAGACACGACGTTAGATGATCGTAGTGAAAAGAGTTCTTTTAGCGACGAGATTAATAAACAAGCAATCAACGATTTAGAATCAGGATATGTCATATGCCCGCCCGATGAGCCCGATGAGTCACAAGAGAGCTCAGCCAAAGGTTTTTCAATTTTTCAATCTGTATCGGCACAAGAAATTTCAGAGCAGACGGAAAATAAATCAAACGAAAATATTAGTGCAAGTAACGAAGATAAGCCGAATGTTGATGATAGTAATGTGTCTATGTCAGCATCATCTGACACATCTATGTTCAAAAGAGGTGGTCCATTTTTTTTATTCAGTGTATTGATAAGTAGCATGGAAAATTCAGAAAGTTCACATTTGCCAGAGATTGCAGCAAACATAAAAGCAGATGAGAAACGTGATTCAACGGAAAATATTAAGGATTCCTCCGAGATTTGGCAAGATAGCGCAAAACACTCAACGTCAAATAATGATAAATTCCAATGGTTTAATGCGCCCGCCCGTTTTACAGATGATTTACAACCTGGACCGATAGATATACCAAAATTGAGCGACGCTAATATTTATCCATTTCTGAGTGAAAAGCCAGAGTATTTCGAAGATTTAATTCCCGGAAGTCAGTGCCAAGTGCAAATTGTCAGAGATATTTTTGTGGTGAGGTGTCCCGCTGTTAATTTCGACGAAAAATGGAATCTCACTTCCGTTGAAACACACACATCCGATTTTCCAGATGTAAATAGTTCTGAAGACTTTTTTTATGATTTTTACGACGATGCAAGCGATCAATTGGAAGAGCAATTAACTTTGCAGCATAATGTACCTGAGAAAATGGACACAGTGGAATTACAAAAAGACACACCAAGTGTAAAAATTTTAAACGTATCACCTGAAAGAGTTAGATTAGATTTTGCAGGTGATCCGATTCAAGATGATACTGCTCACATTTTGAATGAAGAAGAAATAAGACAAGTTACAACGACGGTATCTCCTTCTAGTTATAAATTTAATTCTGATTACGTCAATTCTTATGACAAATTCATATCATGGTTTAAGACTTTAAATTCTAAACAGCAAGAAGCATTAAAACCTCAAGTACATGATATTCTAGATTACGAACATCTTGAAACTTCTGCGGAAATTAGTGATCTTACTGCAAGCGCCATGAACAGCAGTAATGACAGAAGAAAACGTATGGCTGTAACTGAATTGCAAAATAAATTAGTCTCAATATTTAATAATGAAACAAAGTCGCTCATCGATTATGTGAACTCGACCAAGTCACTTTCATCTGGAAACGATTATATAGATACCATTCACAACAAATCTTCTAACTGGACCTTTCTATCTCTTGATTCTTGGCGTCAACAGTCTGACGTTGCAAAAAAAGTCGTGGAAGACATACGTCACGATTTTTTCTCGAAAATAATTGATAATTTATCAGATAGCAGTAATGGCAGAAAAAAACGTATGGCTGTAACTGAATGGCAATCAGGTATATTAATTATTATATTAAAACAATTGTAGTAAAATATATAAATACATTTTATTTACAGTATATTATTATTATTTATAAAGTTTTTTTAGAGAGGTCTAATTATTAAAAGTAATAATCACTAAATATCTATTTCCACATATTTATTTATTGAAATACGTATTAAAATTCTGTTTTTTACATTGCAGTGGAAAATACAATAGAAGAAAATAACGAAAATGTGGAGGTATTGCAAAACTTGAAAAAGATTTTCCAGAGAATGGAGATTCTTGCTGCTTATATCGACAGACTTCATGAACGATATCTTCTTCATAATAAACTTGATGATGATTATGTGTCCAGCGAATTTCCGACGGAAATTAAAAAACGCCGAAAATAATATTCACGCATATAAAAAGTAAATGAAAATTTATACAAATATCTTTCGTTTTTGGATGTTTTCTTTGTCTTCTTTGATACGTTATGTAATTTGTAAAAATATAATAAAATTAATTATATTTATAACCGTTACATTATTCAGGTGTCCTGTGGGAAGTTGTTAAAACAGAGGACATTTTATTTACGTATAAACTAAAGACAATATTTTTATCATTAAATAAACGTTTATTAAAAAATGCCAAATATCGCTAATTTTAATGGTGTATATTTTCGAAGTGCGCATCGTCAGAATTATAACGAAAATTAAGTCGATTTCGGAAACTATAAATGTAACTGTAACTTTTGTTGCATAAAAAAACTATTAAAATTAGCAAAATTTAGCATTTTTTTATAAACGTCTCTTTAATGAAAAAATATTTCCGACTGATTTTTAACTTATATGTAAATAATTTGCAAATGCAAAATGTTTTCTGTTAGAAGATATTTTATTTTTTTTTGCTTTCTATGTGCGTTTAAAAATGACAGCTAATTAGTTTTAGCAACTTCCCATGGGACATCCAGTAGTAATTGCGCTATTATATGTAAAACAAATGTGAAAGTGTGTAATATAAATATGTCCGTGTTTGCATAAAGTGCTTTTCTTAAATTATTTTTAGCGCAGTGCGTTATTGTATTTAATATATCACATTTTTATGAAATTTGATCATAAAACCTGTGAGTATTCGACGAAAGCATGCTATGGAATAATTAGTGCGTTGCTAATATACCTGCGCATAGACCTTGAACTTATTCATGCTAATTTGTTGATTTATACATAGTTGCGTTAATCCGATAAAATTTCCATGCGTTGGTTAAATGATGATTAGAATAGGCCGTTCGGTGATTATAGAAATACCAAAGTAGGTCAAGCTTGCATATCTTTAAAATAGCTCTTGATCACACTTAAAGTGCACTCTTTGGTGTCACTTCTACTTTAAAATCAATTTTGAATTAATTCTTGCCATATTTTTGCTTGCTATTGCAAATCTCTTCTTTTGCATCTGCATAAATAAATGAAATTGTTACTGGCATTAATTATCAGTTCAATTTTTCTATATCGTCATGTCAAAGAGTATACTTATTTTCTACATTTCGTGTTGATGTATTAGTCATCTTATCAGACGTTAAGAGTACTTTTTTTACAAAACGCATGACATCATGCGCAGGAAAGGTCAATTGATTTATTTAGTAATTCCGATATCGAAAGTAGAATGCAGCCTGAGCTGCAAAATATTTAAAGCTACGCAAATGGAATATTTAATAGAGTATGATTGCCGATCTTATCAAGTTTGTTGTTAGGTTGATGTAACATTGCGCTTCTTTATTAATGTCAGCCAGGCAATCACGGTTTTAATCGCGCACTGACCTTACACCTTACAGTTTCGTGAAACATGCAAGATCGACTACGACAGTTCGATCAGCATTTCGATCGCCGGACGAGCATTCCGGTAAATTGCCTTGTAAATCACGGTACGTCTTGCACGCGTCTTGTTAAATTTATGAATTACACGCGAGCCTACGCGATCGACGATCGATAGAGACTTAACCATCGAAACAGAAGGCGATGCCGTTGTCGTGAAATCAACACGACAATCCGACACGCGCATACTTGCTGTAAACAAACGTAAGGTAAGGCACGATGCACTTGGCGTGCACAGGTGGACACATTTCTATGAATGTCCGTCTATAAAATACTATAGCAGCACGACGATAAATTTGCTTTCGTGCACGCGCAGCCGGATGAGCCTGCTTTGTAATCTGCAAAGTTAACATTTTGAGCTCGACGGTCTTCGCCGACGAAGACACGATGCCGGGTAAGATGATAAGAAGAGAAACTAGGCTATAATTATGCACTTAGATAACTTTTTGTAAGAAATGCACGAGAAAACTTAAGGAACAAACGCTATTCTGTAAAATAAATGGTGCTCATTTTTTACGCATCGTATAATTCATGTCTAAAGATTAAAGGGAAAAAGTATATAATTAATATATTTTTATATATTTATACTTGTTACGTTTTTATTCAAAATTATTTCTAGGTAAGATTTAGGGGGTCCACACGGATATGTATTCTAATTCTAGGAGGCGCAAAAAAATTTTATTATTAATTAATACAAATTAATACAAAGTAATGATAAAAACATTTTAGAGAAAAATAATAAATAATATGCCAGCAATTCGAAAATTATTTTAAATTTATTATATATAATTTTTAAAAAATGTCTTTATTTAAACAAATTCTTTTTTATTGATCAATGCAAACGGTGAAAAGTTAAGTGGATTTGATTTATCTTATGTAGATTTATTAAAATAATTGGAGAATTTTTAGATAAAATGTTTTATGTAATCTACTTATTTGGCATACATCTTATATTTGGCAGCACAATCTTTTTACAATTTTTTAATAATCTCGTGATCGCGAGACGTATATTAAGGGACGGAAAATAACTTTACTTAAATTTGTTTAAATTGGCTGAAAAATAATTAAACTTATCGTTGATACGAGATGTATATTACGAGACGTAAATAGTTTCACTTATATTTCTTTGAATTGACTGAAAAAACTTAAACTTATGAAACTTATCGTTGATACGATCGGAGTAATTGCAAAAGTTTGCTAAGATCATTATTCTCTAGAAAATAAAAAGCGTTACTTTTGAAGAAATTAAAATGTTATAACTGGATTCTATGAATTATTCGGTTTCGCACACATAACGAAGTGACGATTGTTAAAATTTGCCACTGATACGTGAGGAGTCTATATTGGGAATAGATGCCAGGTGATAACGATGTAAAGCAGGATACTTCGAAGGATTGTTTCCGGCTAGCGTCCCCAAAAAGGAATCACTGTCTACGTGTCAGGTTCATAAATTTTATTGATAATGCTCAGCAACGGCTCAGCGATAGAACATAGTCACGTCTGACCGCGTCTTTCGCGGCGATCGAAGTTCAGCCAGCTAGCTTCGTATTCAGATTTTCAAGAAAGGTGGTAAGGTAACCACCTTACGGCGAAGCATTTTCTACTTTAGTGGTGGCAGCACGTAGGGCCGTTTCGTAGTGGGGGTGCTTTGAAGGCTTTAAAAGGCCTTCCGACGTCCTTGTAACACGCAGTCTTGGAATCATACCAGTATAAGTGGATCAAAAGTGCGAAAGTCTTCTCACTAGAATTTTTGTCGTCATTGGTTCCGTTATACTTTCATCGGGGAGTGATCTGGTGTGTGGTAAGCTGAGATTTAAATTGTTGAGAGGACAAAGGAAAGAGTTTATAACGAGGAGAAATTAGAATCTAGAAAGGGAAGTGATTTTTTTCACCCGTGAGTCATCTCTTTGCTTAAATCCGGATTTGTGATTTGTGACTGTACAAGTGATAATAATTCAATATTATCTGCATAACGATTGATTGAGTGATAATGAGAGACGAAATGAGTCTCCGGGTAATTACATCCATAGTACTGGCGATATCAATATTTTCACCGCCGATGTCCGGTGCTCTTACCACTTTTGGGAAGAGCAATCCGCAGAATCAAAATCCGCAGAATTCACCACCACCTACACCAAGTACGTAACAAAGAAATAATAAAAGCTTTTTGTATTAAAATTATATTAAAATTTTGTATTATTAATTTTAAACAAAAGTTATATATTTCTATTTTATTATACATAAATAATATTATATTTATTGCATGCATAATATATATTATAACATAATTTGATATACTTATAATTTTGTTGAGCATAATAATTAATTTGCCATGTAAATTATACTATCTTGCACTTTACGAGAGCAAGTCAAAAAGTGAAAGGACATTTAAGAAATTACACTTTTTAATATTACTTCCAGAATTGAAATGTAAAAGAACTTTTTTAATCAAGAAAGTCCCTTTACTTTTTGGCTTTTCTTTATATTGTTAGGTATGGTTTTTCATAGATAAATAATAATATAGAAGGCAATAAGAAAGCGTGATTGCTAAAGCGCAAAAACTATGAATAATCGTTCATAGTTCTCGCACTTGGATAACCGCGCTTTTGATTCTCATTGCCTTTTATATTATTAATTATAAATACTCATAAATATTCATATTATTAATATACTTTACAATAATATAACATAATATATGTTGAAATATTATTTCGTACGATATTTTGAAAAATATGCATATTAGTGTATTTAACAATCAATTGCAGTTTTATTAAAACTGCGTAGGAATAAAAATCTGACGCTTAGAAGTCAAGGTTAAACTAAAATGTAGATGAATACTAATGCTCTGTTGAATGTCAGAGTTCTAGTTCGCATGACTTTTTGACTATCATGTTGCTCACACATCTGGACAATTGAGATATAATTGTAGCGATAAATTTTATTCATGAATATTACAACGCTTTTCATTTATTTATTAACAAGAAAAAAAGAAGAAACAAGAAGAGTCTTTGAACATTTTTTTTAAGTATCAATCAAAGAAGAACAATGAATTATAAAATAATTATAACAGAATTTTAGATATGGGATAGTTTTACTTCAAATTTGCAAGCTTAATTTTTAATGATCTGCTGAACTAATACTGCACATATTTTTTACGAACTAAGGGCTCATTAGATTAATTAAAATCAAAATAAGATCACGATTCTTTATATGGAATGATATTTATAATTGCAGCTGGTAAATCTCGCGAATGTAAGATGGATAGTGAGTGTGCTGGAATTCAAAACACAACGTGTATAGCGGATCCACGAGATGGAAGAACCCGATGTCTTTGCGGCGATTACTCGGTACCAGTTAATGGCCTTTGCCCTAATAAATTCAAAGGTGCATAAATTTTTATAATTTTGCCATTATTTTTCATATTTATTATAATTTGAAGAAGCATTGCAGAAAAAAATTAATATTAATTCAATCAAGTGTGCAGCGCATCTCTTTATAAATTTGAAGAGATAGAAAATAAATGAAAAATTTGTCAAAGAATTTCTCCTTAAAATATTTTGCAGTAGGATCGCATCACCAATTTCTGTTTAACTTTTGCATGCATGTTTAGAGATAGTATTTCAAGTTGTTTTACGCATACATCCATTACGTCTATTATTTTACTCCTTCGGACAGTCAAATCTCGGATGGGATGATTTTAACTGGAAGCCGGTATACGAAGATTTGCATATACTTACGTGCTGTATTGCAGTGTATGTGAACATATGGCGGTGTTCGTAGCCGGTTCTATGGTTATCTATGCAAATTGGTACGGGTTAAGAGTACCGCCCCGATCTACCTTCCTTCAGCTGTTACACCGGTGCAGTTTTTCTATAGTATTCCCTGCACGGCAGGAAAAAGAGTATGAAAATAGAACGACAACAAAAATATCAATAATTCACCTAATCATTGCATTTTTCAAAAACTGTATTGAATAATGCTATGTACTTATTATACTATTTCACAAGTTATAAGACACGCATATTATCACAAATTAAAGACATCTTCATGGTTCTCGTATTAAATGTAATGAAATGTAATAATCATTAATGAGAATGATAGCAGTAATCGTACCTGGTACGATGCAATCAAATATTTACTGATTCTTAAAACTTTGCGAACCGTACAGCGTGTACCAAGCGATTTGTAGTTTGATACGTTATATTAGAGGTTCGTGAAACAATCCGGAAACTCAGTAATTTCGTTTGATTAGATGATCACTATGCACGTTTCCTTTCTGATTTTCGGCAGAGTTGTCGATGATTGCCTCGAACATTTTAAGCGCAATTAGCCATTGTTACGAATCGATTGGCGTTTAAAAGTCATGTCAGTACTGTATATCAGTGCCTTTTAACATTTAAATAAGATTAACTTTTACAATTAATTAAAATTGTACGAATTTACATATATTATAAATTTGTTAAATTTTTATGTTTTGCAAAAATAAATTTGCAATATTTGCGTATTATCGCTATTTTATAATCATACATTATTTTAATTTGGCTAGTAAAGTATTCGAAACATTGGAAAACGAAAAATTTGTGATCTGTACATTTCTTAAATTCTTAGGTCGTCTTAAAATTTTTTGCTTTTAGCTCTTGGCTCGCCTTGCAGTGACGACACAGACTGTGTGCTCGATGCTTACTGCGTTCAGCGCAACAATACTATAGGCAGACGTTGTTATTGCAGAGAAGGATTTGTCCAAGAAGCCCCATTGATTTGTAGCGGTAAGTTAAAACTTTTGTTAATACATTAAAAACGGCATATCATGTATATATTTTGTTGATCATTGCAGATTACGTAAAGTAATGTTTATCATTTCTGTTTTAATGACCTAGGGTTGGTTGTTCTGTTTTTGACTTTACTTCTCAGTTATCTAAAATAAATATCAGTGAATTTCAGTAACTGTTGTTCTATCTGTCGAACGGGTTAAATTGTTAAGAGATAATTTTACTCGGTATTCTAACTACCGAGTAATTACTGATACTTATTTTAGATAATAGAGAGATAAAGTCTACCAAGAAGTTAGAACAATCGGTCCATAGGGCTCAAAGTTAACTTTAAAATTTTGTAAAAATTGAAAAATATGATATAATATATAATTGACATTGTAATAATAAATATAATTAAACCTTTGATGTTGAGTAGTAAGGGTTTATTAGTATTAAAATAAAAATTTACTCTAATTTTACGTAATTTATAAAATATTCTATTAAGTAGCGATGAAATATTCAGTACTTTTATCAAAAATTAAAAGAAGTTCGTCATCGTTATGTTTCGTTAGCTTTGATATGCTGATTTAAAATAAATGTTTAAATTTTCGTTTTCTTCTTTTGAAACAAAGTATATTTTGATCTGTGTTGTTGAGACAAAGATTAAAAAAGTATGATAATAATTTGTGTACTCATCATTATTTATCGTCTTATTTTATCAATTAGCAGGAAATAGAGTGACGTAAGAATTATCACTGCAAGTCAATATAAACGTCTACTGTAATGATATAGTTTTTGAGTATTTTTTATAAAATAAATTATACTTTTTATAAAATAAACTGAATTAAATGGATGTCATCGTCGATGTATGTGATGTTAAAAATACATCAGTTTAATATGGATTTATGTATAGACATAATGTCAAGTGTAAGAGATATATAGTCAGTTTTTATTCACATTCTTTGTAGGTTGCTCATCCATGTTTGCGATGTATACCACGACTCTTCTGGCTGCTTCGCTCGTATTAGGAAGATTGGTTTCAAATATTTAAGTTTTTAATAAATTATTTAAAAAATTTCCGGATCTATACTTACGGTAACAAAATATAATTATTGGAACTAACAAATCAAAAGAGAAGTAACAGCTAGGAATACGCTTATTTATAAGTGTCAACATTACTCTCATTAATTTAACGAAAACATTTAAAGCAGGATGTATGTATGAATATGTTTGAGGTTCGAAAATGGATGCACATTTATGTGTCAAATAATCATAAATTCTCTGATCGAATCTCGAGTCAAAATAATCAAGTGTACCTTCTCTCGATTATAAATTCTTTGAAAAAATACATTTTTATTTTATAATTATTTATAGTACCAAAATATCATGGTTTTTTACATTAAAAAATGTTTTTTTTTAAATTTATTCTTGGTCCGGAAAAAGTGTGCGATTTCTAGAGTAACTGGTATATTACGTAAAATGTATTGCAAGTATATATGCAAAGTCTGATTTTCTATTTCTTAATTTCTTCTGATGCGTGTTAAAATTAGAAAATTATATCCATGATCGTATTAGCTTATAATCGACAGGTTCTATAGCCGATGATGTATATGTATAACACTATATTTAAATTATAAAAAAAATTTTAATAATGTCGAATTTCTATAAGAATATTAGGTGGTTCAGAGTTCTCATTCACTCTTAATTTTGAATCAGTTTAAGCAAACAATTTTACTCTTAATGTCTCTAATTAATAATAATTTTAATTAATAAATATAATTTTAAATATCTTTGGGCTCAAATAAAATCAATACGATAAACCAGTGCTCGGAATTATCTCAGCATTTCAGTCGATTCTCGTTGATCTATTTCTCTCTTTACCGAACGTCAGGAGCGGCAATTAATGATTAGGTTCTTCTGCCTTTATTATTAAAATTTTAAAAATGTATTAAAAATAATTTTTTTTTATTTTTAAATTTATTATGGAAATATTTCAATAGATTTCCACGTCAGGTACTATTGCTGACGCGTTTTCTCTTTAGAGTGATTTCCAGTAGGGCTGGGGAACATTTTTTAAATGTTTAATCATTATTTGGAGAGTGCCGCTTCTGATGCTCGGCGGCGCTGGCCCTAGCGCTGCGGCGCGCGCGATAAGGAGAGGAAAGGAGGCGTCTCTCAATCACGAGAATCGGCTGAAAATGCTGAGATAATTCCGAGCACTGCGATAAAGAGGATGTCCGAACGAAGGTCGGGTAGCAGTACCAATAACAATCTTCTTTTTTCTTATTTTATACCAAACGTTTCGAGCAATACGTGACCATCTTCAATATATTTATTGTAATTATGTTACATTAGTTCAATAATTAAAATGAGATTGAGTTTAATCCAAATTATGATTTACATTTGATTCTTTATAATATCAAATCTGGATAGAGCGCCCACGAGACTGACACACCAAAAAAATTCTCACAGTTACTTGTTGTTTTTCATCTGATTATACGTTATAACAAGTCTAACATCTTTGAAACATAAACTCAATACACACTGTCAGTCTCGTGGGCGCTCTATCCAGATTTGATATTATAAAGAATCAAATGTAAATCATAATTTGGATTAAACTCAATCTCATTTTAATTATTGAACTAATGTAACATAATTACAATAAATACACTGAAGATAGTCACATATTGACCGAAACGTTTAGTATGAAATAAGAAAAAAGAAGATTATTATTGGCACTGCTACCCGGCCTTGGCTCGACATCCTCTTTGTTTATCGTATTAATTTTAATTAATTTTATTTAAATAAATATAATTATTTATTTGTGTCTTATTTTATTGAATTATATGATAGTGTATCTAATTATTTTAGTTTATGTTTATGATAAAAAGTTCAAAATGTGGATATTAACTCTGGGTCATTTTTATGCGATTGTCAATCAATCGTAAGTAAGTAATCAATCCTTCATACTCGTATATAGCCTCAGTACGTAAAGCACTTTAAAATAGTTACTACAATAAAAAAACTGATGTAGTTGTAACAGTTGCAGTTAAATTAGAGTAAACAATTCATTAACATAGTCTATAATAATTGCCATTAATTAATATGATCATATTTCAATTTTCATATTGTGTTTTATAATAATCATAATATATATGTAAAAAAGTAAAAAAAAAAAATATTACATTAATATAATTCTCTCGGATAAAAATTTATTATTAAATTCATATTATATATTTATATTTGAATGTGACTATCTTTAGAACCCAAAACAGAATAATGCTTTGGAAATAAATTTGTGTAGTATACATTATTAACAATAAGCTTCGCGTACTAACTGCACACAAAATAAAAACCATTAGATGCACATATCAATATTATTATCAATTATGCGCATTTATTATAATTTCTTCAAGTATCTTTGTTATCGTTATATTTTCTTCAAGAGGCAAAGTACATGGTAAAAAATTATGGAATTGCTTACTTATAAATCACAAATTACAAATTACAAATCACACACAATTTTCTAAATATTTAAAAATTCTAATTCTACAGAAATAATTAAATTGCTCATCGAATTATATTAATTTTGTCTTAATTCTCTGCAAATTGATTTAAATATATACCTCGGCATTAAATTAAATCTTTTTGAGAAATATAAACTTTTGTCAATGACGCCTTATTATTAATTATTAATATAATTGCTAATATAATTCGATAAACACTGAATTTATTTCTCCGCTATATTTAATAATCACAGAGATTTATCGTAGAATTTAATTTAGCATAAGTATCTTTTGTAAACTTTGTAATATGACAATAGTCAAGAATATGTAGAGCTAATCGCATTCTCACTCTGATGTCATTTTATGTACTTGGACATTTTGTGCACAAATAAATTCTTGAATCTTTTCGAAATATACATTTATTTTCATATGCGTTTTAGGAAGTAAGTAATCGTCAAAGTCTCCACAGATTAGAGAAGTATTTTATTTATTTCCATATAAAAGTATATAAAGATTTACTTTTTCCGAAACACCAATTGTGTTACAACGTTTCCTGTTTGTCCACCAAACTGGAATGTATCCGTAGGAAGTTGACTTTCAAATTCGAAATCTGCAAACAGTAAATCTGAAAATTGTTCTCGCAATGTTCCAAAGGTAATGATAAAAGCAATAAACTTCACAGAAAAGATATATCTTTGATAAAATTATCGAAGAAGAGGTAAACAATACATATTGTTAAAAAAATTATTTCGGTTATTTAAAAACAAAGACATTTAAAATTATACTAACAATTCGTGAAGTGTTTCAGCAATTCCTCTTTGGTCCAATTACAGGAAGTCAGTACCAAATATCCTTTTGGTAAAAGAATACGATGTATATTTTCAATATATTTCTGTCGTTTCACCGTTGGATCTTCTGGACTTAGACTGATAGCATCGTAAGTGCCTTTATCATGAACGAGTTTAAAATCATGCGGCAATGTATTATTCAAAATATCGCAGACTTCCAATTTTACATTTGACAAATTGTTATCGTTCAGGATCATGCGAGCCAAATTTACTGCTTTCTGTGAATAATCTACTCCCATCAAATTAGCAAATCCTTCTTTTGCCAGTTCTACTAAAGTCATTGCATTACCGCATCCTACATCAATTATCTTATCGCATTCTTTGTTTAAATCCAATTTCGTCGCAATCCATCTAAAATATGATTGAAAATCAATTCATTAATCACATTCATCATTCATTAATCATTTATTTTTCCCGCTGATATGTATATGTATATATAGTAATACAAAAATTTTATTATTTTTATAGGTATATTTATTTTAAGCATATTTAGAAAAACAAAGCTTTTTTCATTATATATATTGTTATGATGTTTTACTATTGGCCTTTAATAGAAAGATCAAGGATTTAAAAATTATTTATTATGTTTTATGAATGTTTAAATATAAGAAATATGATGATTATGAAAACAAAGATATGTATATATAACCAGACTACAATTTTATGTAACTTTGGGTGTACTTCCCAACGACCTCTGCTCCCGATCGACTTGAAATTTTACACATAAGTTGTTTTCAATGTAAGGAATCTGAAGCACCGGGGTTGCAAACCCACTTTCCGCGCAAAGCCAGGTCTACTCCCCATCGCCCGGTGCTGCGGAAAATTAGGTCTGTAATTATACGAATTTAGATGGGTTTGCGACTTTCCGCACAAAGCAAGGTCTACTCCCCATCGCCCGGTGCTTCGGAAAATTAGGTCTATAATTATACGACTTTACATGGATTCACAAAAAAATTGTTTTTTTAATTTAATGAAGTTAGAACCACGCGCACTTTATTCCTCGCATCAAATAGAATTTATGTGTAAAATTTCAGGTCAATCGGGAGCAGGGGTCATTCGGAAGTATATCCGTAACTTTTATTATTCAAATATTTTCAGAAACAGAAAAAATATTTTAAGATAAGTATTAAGTTTTATATAACAAAAATAATATTTTTAAATATATAAAAATTATTATATATTTTATCAAATTAAGCCGGTTGTTTCTTGATAGACTTTATCACTCAGTTTTCTAAAATAAATATCAGTAATCCTTACTCGGTGATTGGAATATCGAGTAAAATTACCTCTTAAGGGGATCCTAAAGTGGTCTGTTTTACCTATTTTTTTCAAATACACTTAACTTTTTTTTGGCTGTGTAGAATAAAAAGTCCTTTTCTGTAAGTAAAGTACATATGCTAATACACTACAGATGGTCGATTTGAGAGGATTTTTCACCATTTTTCGTCGGTAAACTTTACAACAGATAGAACAACAGTTACTGATATTTATTTTAGGTAACTGAGAGGTAAAGTCTATCAAAAAGTTGGAACAACCGGCTTTATAGGAGATAACTTTGAAGTCGATATCTTAAAATTTAATGAATACGGGATTATCCACAGTAGAAAAAGTGATTATTGAACTAAACTATTGAGGATTAAAGCGCTACTGACGAAGAAAGTTTGAGAATAATTTCACAGGTGACGCTACTAAAAACTTGTGAGGCAGCTGTCTTCACGTCGTTGTTGTTTACGTTCCGCGGGAAAGTGCATCGATTTTTCGGGGTGCTGTTTACGCTAGTGAATAACGGTGTGACACGCGTTTGCGGTTAATCCTTGACTCGCTTACCGTACGATCTTGCGCGAATTGGCCGCGCCGAACCATATCTCGCCCACGTCGCCGTGATCACGGAAGTTGTCAAGCTCCTGCGCGTACGCGTGTTCCCAGCTGCAAGCGGCACAGAAACGTCAAAAAAAGCAGCGAGTAATGCACAACGAGTGTCGTGCGATTACGGTACGTACTAAATATATACTTACAAATCGAGAGTGCCTAAATCCGACGATGCTAATTCCTCGTTCTCTTGCTCTGCCATGGCTTAACTGTGATTGTCTGAGTCTACAAATGATAATTCCGATCCGGCCGGGTGTCGCATGTAAGAGTGCTGCTCAGGTGCTGTTCAGAGCAAGTAAATTGTATCATTATAAATCGTTGTCATAAACTGATTAATCACATTGTCATAAATAAAATGGTAAATCAATTTAGAATTATATATAAACTTGGTATGCGATATTTATGCATAAATTTGATCAAACAATCAACGTGATCTTAGAACTGTCATGTTGTTTTGGAATTTTTTAACTAGGTGGCAGTAATAATTGAATAGCTGTCAACGATATATTTTAACAATTTTTCTAGATAGAAACATGCATTTATTCAGATACAATTAAATCAAATTAATATTATTTTAAAGTGTGTGTGATATTATAATTATGTCAATGAAAACTATCATTAAAAAATTTTTGAGAAACATGTAATATATATTTCTTGGTATGTACATATATTATGTTAATATTATGCAAAAAATTTGATAATTTGCATTGCACAGTTTGTTTAAAAATTACATTTTGTCGGATTTTGGCACATTGTGTGGATAATGCAGCGAGTGTTCACAGCGCTATCTGTTCACGATAAAATTACTGTTAACCTGACTTTACCGATTGCATTTCTGCTTATACGTTGCATATGCAGTTATGCGTGTTGTGTTGAATCTAACCTTATCGCCTGTTTATCGGAGCCGTTTCAATCTAACGGTACTCGTTGTCATCATGATTGTGCAACTTAACTTATTACCTTTGTGATCATTTGTACATCGCAAATTTAAACGTTTGAGCTTGAATTATAAAGTGTTATCCATTTCAACATGAGTGTTAATAACCTGCTAACGAACATGTTTTGTTTTGGTAAGTAAATGAGATTGTTTAAACATTATATTCAATGATTATAATATATTAAATAATAATAAGAGTATGTTAATAATATTGCATGTGTTTGTTTTATTGTGCATGGCATAATTTACAAATTTATAAATGCAATGTTAATATTGATGTCCAAGATTCAAATATGTGTTTATTATTTAAAGTAGCATGCAGCATTACTTATTTTTTATTCATAATCTCATTTTTTGTATTACATCTTAATTTTATCAAAAAGGAGATTGTCAAGTTGCAGTTTATTATGTTTCTTTAACTGTGAAACTAATTTTGTCTCTATATTTAAATTTATGCTTGCTTCTTTATATTAAAATTATGCATGTTTTATTAGTACTTGGGATTTACTTATATGATATACAGATAATAGTTACATATGATATTGCACAGGGCGACAATGTACAAAACTGTCTACACGACGCTATGCTTCTGTTGCGGTGAATCCAGCTGACAAAGACAGTGTAAAGCCGAAAACTGGTATATTAATGTTAAACATGGGTGGACCTTCCAACACTAGTCAAGTCCATGAGTATTTATTAAGAATAATGACTGATCGTGATATGATACAGCTACCAGTGCAAAGGTTTTATAGTGTACATGCATGATACAATAGCGAATATTATATGAGAGAGATATTTCTTACAGAAATATATTGCAGTAAATTAGGTCCTTGGATAGCCAAACGTCGTACGCCAGAAGTGCAGAAAAAATATTCTGAGATAGGTGGGGGATCACCAATTCTACAGTGGACAAATAAGCAAGGCGAACTTTTATGCAAGAAATTGGATAAAATTTCGCCTGAAACTGCACCTCACAAACATTATGTTGCCTTTCGATATGCAGATCCTCTCACAGAAGTTACTCTTGAGAGGATACACAAGTATGACTGTCATATTTTTTTAGGTGTAATAAAATTTAAACATATGCAACATATAAACATAAATCTTAGAAATTAATTTAAATTTGGTTGTATGCTTTTTTTCAGTGATGGAGTGCAGCATACTGTACTTTTTTCTCAGTATCCGCAGTACAGTTGCTCAACTTCAGGTTCCAGTTTTAATGCTATATACAATTATTACAAAACTAGGTGATTACATTATATCATTTTTCACTTTTTATAGCTATAAATTGTAAATTTTGTGTTATCTACTTTTTTTTATTTATTGTATAGATTGTAGATTTATCATAAATGCAACATGTGTTGTTTTATATGCATATTTACTATAGCAACATAATATTTTTATATCTGGAATATTAAATTTTATAGAATTATTTTCATTGAATTTTATTTTTGTTGAATTATTTTTATGTCTTTAGAACACATAAAGAAATATAAATAAATGAAATAGAGAGTTATAAAAATTGATAAACATAAAATAGATACAAATTACATCTTTGCAGAGAATTGCCAAATAAGATGAAGTGGAGTATAATAGATAGATGGGCTACACATCCACTTCTTGTGAAAACGTTTGCTGAAAGAATTAAAGAAGAACTTGCACAATTTCCTAGTGAAACAAGAGACGATGTTATAATCTTATTTTCAGCTCACTCTTTGCCATTGCAGGTTGTTATTGTTAAAATAATGCATAGTTAGTTGCACGACAACTTAGAAATTAGTCTGATTTGTCTTTTCCTTTCTGTAATCGTTTTAGGTTGTAAATAGAGGGGATTCTTATCCTGCGGAAGTTGGAGCCACAGTTGCATTAGTTATGCAGGAATTAAATTACTGCAATCCATACAGCTTAGTATGGCAATCAAAGGTACATAAATGCATATGTGTTAAAAGTTAGCCGAGCCAAGTTAAAAAAAACACTTTAACTTTAGTTCATTATGCATATTATGAAATATATATATTTAGGTGGGACCTATGGCATGGCTGGGGCCTTTCACTGATGAAGCGTTAAAAGGCTATGTTAAGCAAGGCAAAAAAAATTTTATTCTGGTACCGATTGCATTTGTAAATGAACATATTGAAACCCTTCATGAATTGGATATAGAATACTGTCAAGAACTCGCTGAGGAAGTAAGAAGTGCTGTCATATTTTGCCATCTATTTAATGTAACAAGTAGAATGTTTTATACTTAATCTTTCCAGCTTGGTATCAAAAATATACGAAGAGCTGCGGCACCTAATGATCATCCTGTTTTTATCGACGCTCTGACGGATATTGTTGTGTCTCATCTTAGATCAAAACAATCTATAAATCCTAAATTTTTAACACGATGTCCTCATTGTGTAAATTTAAATTGCGATGCCAGCAAAAATTGGTATGCTAAAATCTGTAAGATTTAGCAGTTATGATATGGAAAATATATGAATATTATTTCAAGTATTCTCAATTGTATTAGGTTTGTTCTTTATAGCTGAACTGGCTGCACTAGTTTAGAGTATCTTTTTCCGTCCATATTGGAAAGAGAAAGTTTAACTTAAACTCTGAACTAGTGCAGCCAATTCAACTATAAAGAACGAACCTATTAAATATTCATTTAAAGCACATATAGTTCATGTAATTAATTGTATTACTTACTGTATTAGTTATATAATCTGTATTAGTTATATATTTGTATTAGTTATATAATATGATAAGTTATCTGTTGATAATTTGGTATAAACGGATTTAATAAAATATATACAAAGGTGCAATAATACCAAATAAATTATCACGCGTCTTTTACATTTTATAAATCCTTCACAAATCCATTTAGAAATTAATAGCTATAACAATTTGATTAACAAAGCTTTATATATAATTTGCTAGAATTATTTGCATATACTTCTTTACTTCCTACATCATAATGCAATATTTGATATGCAGTACCAAATGTAATATTGTCTTGAGTAAATACAATAGCTAGTTCTTGTCAATAATATCTACAGTTTTGTTTGTACGGTTTATTCTGCCGGAGCTGTGCATTCAGCACATTTCCATTTTTCCAAAGGTTAAATCACGATTGCGTTAGATGCATCGTTGATCTTGATGTTACACTTCGCCTTTGCTTGCTCACTGATTTTATATTACAACATTGTCATGGCAATCAGACCGTAATAATCATATTTATTGCTTTAGAAGTAGTTACTGCATTTTACATGCGAAACAAGCCCGATAATTATAGCTACAGTTGCTTATAAAATTTATTATTATGGTTGCTTATAATACATATGATTTATGATTTTGTATTTATTTTGTATCGTATGCGTTTCTTGTATCTATAATAATTTGATCGTATTACGTATTAATGAAATTGTATTGAAATTGCTAATTTGTTGCTTAGTTTTAATATTTAATAATTTAGACAAAGTTAAGAAAATAAAAATGCGTTTTAATAACCTGTTAATTCTCGTAAATTTTATTTCAATATTAGATTGTTTATGTAAATAAATGATTAATGTGTTTTCTTATATAC